AGCACTGTCTACGGCCATACCACCCTGAATGCACCCGATCTCATCTGATCTCGGAAGCTAAGCAGGGTCGGGCCTGGTAGATACTTTGACAGAACATTAGTACTAATATGACATTACCGTAAGTGTTCACAGTGCTTATCTCCTTATCTCAAGATTCTTAACTTAATCATATCTGCAAAGACCCTTTTTCCAAATAAGGTAACATTCACAGCTTCTAGGGATTTGACATGGATATCTTTTGGAGGGCCATTATTTCAGTCTACCACAGAAGGTAATAATTGCAAAAATTGCCTAAGGATGTCACTGTACCATTATGTATAATTGAAAAAATTGAAAAACTAAGGAAATAATCTAAATGTTCAACAGCAGGGTATTAGTTAAACAAATGACAGTACATCCCCTAATGAATTAATATACAGTCATTAAAAATAATGCTGATGCAAATTGTTCCAGTTATCTACTGCTGCATTAAAAATTAACCCAAAATTTAGTGCCATACAATAATAATTATTGCAGGTAAGATCTACTGATTGATGCTAAAATTAATAGGTAAAAACTTGAGGAGAAACAGGATATTTGCATAGTCTTAAAGTATCTCCTCCAAGATATTTATTAATTGCAAGAGGAAAAATATCACGTTTACAGTGGAAAAAGGAAGCAGACACTACCTTAACTAAGTGATCAAGATTAACATCACTAGTAATATACATCAACCTTATTTACCCTGAGCATGATTGACTGAGAAGGGTGCATAACTTCCGGGACATGCTTGCCAAAAATGCATAACTTTCTTCTAATCATGAGAAAACCTCACACATACCAAAATTGAAGGATATTTTACAAAATTACTGACCAGTACCTTCCAAAAGGATTAAGATCATGAAAGACAAGGAAAGACTGAGGCACCATCACAGACTGGAGAAGACTAAGGAGATATGACAACTAAATGCAATATGGGATCCTGGATTAGATACTAGAAAATAAAAAGGATATTAGTGGAAAAACTGGTAAATTTTTAAGGAGGTTTGTAGTTTAATTAATAG